TCTCTGCTTTTAAACTAGATGCCCAAGGGACACATACTGGTCCTTCTCTCACCTCGACTCTGCTACACTGGCCGCTGCTGACCCTTCCTTTCTTCTTAACATTCTCTCTTCCTTGTGCTTCTAATATAACAGTTTCTCCTCATCTCCTCGAAACCCCTGAACGTACTTTGAATTCGAAACCTCGTTCCAGCACTTTCTCCCAGCGGCCCTGGTGGGTTATGTGAAATCGCGTCAGTTGTACTGAACGCATGAGCCGCCGTGCTGTCCAGCTGGCCAGTTACGGTCCCAGCATGCAACGGAAGCCTCAGTAAAGAGCGTCTACTCAAGAGTTACAAGGGATGGTGAAGAGTCAGGAAGCCCCTTTCCAGCTCCGGAAAGAGCTAGCAATGAGGCAAAGGCACCACTCGACAGGAACGTTGGGCGTGGAAGAATTCAATCACCGACAAAACCAAAGGGCAGCTGGTCGGGACGAGATAAGTATGCTGCTGACGGTCTCACACTCATGCTATCCTCCAGTCTTCTGCTGGCCCCTCTCATTCGTCAAACCTAACTGGAAAACCACAGTACAATGGAGGCTGGCTGACGCCAACTCTAGAGGGTCACTCCTGAGATGCACGGATGGCAGGGAAGAGCAGAGAATGGACCTGGATAAAGGACCAGCAGAGAAGGGCCAGCACACGAGCACACGACCTACCATCGCCTTTGATCACAGTGCGCCATTGATTTGGTGTGCCAGGGACTCTTCTAGGGAATATAGAGGGTCGCAGGACAGAAAACAGATGCCCATTTTCCTGGTGCTTCCATCCTCCTCAGGGATGACAGATAGTAAAGCACAAGCATTAGGGACATTTCAGATAGTGGGTGCAATGAAGAAGAGGACCATGACTCTAAAAGAGAAGGCAGTCCTTCAGACAAGGATAATCAGAAGTCACCTGAGATGACAGGTGACTTATTATTCCTAACAGGAATAATAAGAAAGCTTTCTAAGACCTAGGGGAAGAGTGTTTAAAAGAGATCAGCAAGGGCACAGTGCAAACATCCTGAGGCGGAACCCAGTTTGGCTTATCCAAGGGAGAGACAGGAGGCCGGAGAGACAGGAGGCCAGAGCGGCTAGAGGTCGGGTGGCAGATGAGGAGGCAACTGTAGGCAGAGACTAGGGCAGAGGGCTCTGTGGGCCAGACGGGGAGCTGCAAAAAGGTTTTAGGCTGGGAGTGGGAGGCCGGAGCGTTTGTAGGTTATGACAGACCTATTTCCATTTACAAAATTTAACTCTCACATTCTATGAAACATACACTGTAGCAGGACAGGAATGTAAAGGTCCCGCTACAGTTTGCATCGCCCTGACCAGAGCTCCCGCGTTCAGCAGAGTTGGGTGGCATTCTGCACAGGGGTGGCACTGCTTGGATCGGGGTGAGCATCTGACATGAGAGTGGCCCAACCACAGGCTGGTGGGGGGTTCTAGACATGGCTTAGAGCAGGACTCTTGCAACTGGACTGTCCTCTTCCAAAATGTGGATTAGAAAATGAGGATTAGTCAGCAGCCAGTAATGTGAGACCCGTCAAAGAGAGAGAAGAACATTCTGCACAGGGGTGGCACTGCTTGGATCGGGGTGAGCATCTGACATGAGAGTGGCCCAACCACAGGCTGGTGGGGGGTTCTAGACATGGCTTAGAGCAGGACTCTTGCAACTGGACTGTCCTCTTCCAAAATGTGGATTAGAAAATGAGGATTAGTCAGCAGCCAGTAATGTGAGACCCGTCAAAGACAGAGAGAAGAACAGAGACACAATGGGAAAGAAATGAGAAAAGAGCTTCTCTGTAGGGCCTTGGTCCCTAACAGCTACTCATCCCATCTATAGAACTCCTCCTGCTCCTACCTCTTTAACGAAGGTGGTCTCTGGGTCTCTCGTTCTTGCATACAAAATAGTCTACTGAGCACACGTGTATCCCCAGGGTTCCATTCTTCTCTCATTCCCATGAGTCAGGAGCGACAGAGACCTGCTCTGGCAACAAATAAATCTTAGTTGCTTAAAACAACAAAGGTTGCGTCTGACTCTAAATACCCGTCACAGGTGGATGGGATTCTGTTCTGCATCTCTGTCCCTCCTAGACCAAGACTGACAGAATACATACTCTCTGGAACATTGCTGATAGCCATGGCAAAGAGGAGAGAGTTCTGGAAGTTCGCGCATCAGCAATTAAATGCCATGCTCACAATTCATGGATAGAATGTCAAGTGCTCATCCCAACCACAAGGTCAGGAAAGGCAACCCTGCCACATATCTGAAAGGGAACAGGAAGTATTTGGCACACCCACCACCATTCACTCATCCTGAACCATGGCTCTAACCGCTGCCTACACACCGATGTCGAAACTTCCGGGAGAGATGACCCATTTTTTCTCCGTATCCGTACTTTCAACCACCTACTGGAATGGCGCAGTTGAACTGTGCCAGACGCTTCAAGTGTCACGTACCAGGACTGAACTCTTCATCTTTTCCAATCTGTCTGTCTCTTCCTTTTGGTCAGTGGCCCCCTCACCTACTCAGTACCTGGAGTAAGAACCCCAGTGTCCCGTGAGCCCTCCCTCATTCCAGCACCCACTCAGCCGCCAAGCCTAGAGATGCTGCCGCCTGGGTCGGCGAGATCGCCCCCTCAGCCCTCGGGGCTCCCCTGAGCGTGTGATCATTTACTCAGCTGACAAACACTTGCCGAGTGTTTCTGCTTCGTAGATGAGGAGGGCCGGCCCTGAACAAATTGGAGGGTTCAACACTACGGACAGCTGTACTAGCAGCTGCGCAGGGGGCGGCGTGGGAACGGCAGGGAACCCCGACACGCGCGGAGGCGACGAGGGCAATGTGGGGGGACTCCGGGGGGCCGAGCCTCGGCGG